AAATCTTTAGTCCATAATGCCTAAAATGTATAGTCTGAGTTGTTCCTATTTGTGAAAACACAGTATAGTAGTTATGTCACTTTTCTTTACTCAACTACAAAAGCAAAAGTGTTCTGTAGACCCAAATGTCACCGTCGATGAAAAATCAATAAAAGTAATTGATTGAATTGTCAAACCAATTCATTTTTTGGTATTATAACATCTCTTTCTTATACTCAATAGTTTTCCATACCTTCCTTAGGTTCTTTCCTTCTTTTTGTTCAACATTCATTCATCCATAACAAGGTACATATTATTGTCGTTTATTCATAAATATGAGAAAATCTTTAGTCCATAATGCCTAAAATGTATAGTCTGAGTTGTTGCTATTTGTGAAAACTCAGCATAGTTATGTCACTTTTCTTTACTCAACTACAAAAGCAGAAGTGTTCTGCAGACCCAAATGTCACCGTCGATGAAAAATCAATAAAAGTAATTGATTGAATTGTCAAACCAATTCTTTTTTTGGTATTATAACTTCTCTTTCTTATACTCAATCGTTTTCCATACCTTCCTTAGGTTCTTTCCTTCTTTTTGTTCAACATTCATTCATCCATAACAAGGTACATATTATTGTCTTTATGTCATATATTTAATAACAATTAGCATATGTAGCATACTCATTAATCTCTTTTCTATCTTATGATTTATTTTGTAGTTAGATTTTGGTATATTTATCATTATAACTCTAGATGGCCGGTTATGATTAATTCATATTGGGTGGTAATATTGAATTTGGTAATGGTGTCATAAAGGGTGACCATTCAAAATTTTCTACTTCAAATATTTCTAGGCATAAAATAAGGTATGAAGCATTTAAAGATTTATGTTACGCACATGTTGGAGTTGAAAAAATGTCAAATAAGTTGAATATCTCACTATGCTATCACTTTCGAGGGCAATCCAATATTTAACGGGTCATAAGTAATTTAAGTCTAGACATAATGTATTATTTGGCTAAGAATGTTTAAAATTATTGGCGTCAAGTTTCAAGTTTTCAACTGAAGTTGAAAAAATAATGCCGCCTACAAGTACTAGTTTTGTAGATCTCCTTTGTAGTTTTTACGTGTTGAAGCCCAATCCATTAAATATACCATTTGCTTTGTTGATTGTGATACATTTAGGGGAGACTATCATGAAGCTAACTCACTATATAGTGAAGATAGTTGTAGTGACTCATTATGTGTTGGGGATGATTATGATGATCGACAATAATACTAGAATTCTAAACTCTACAACTATTGCATTGTACATCCTCCATTCAATTAAAAATGTTGTTGCTTATCCAGTGAAACATATACAATCAGATATTAAAAATAGTTTGAATGTTGATGCTACTTATGAAAATGCATGACGTTGTAGACAAAAAGCCATAGAGAGTTTTTATGGAACTTGTGAGAGTAACTTTGATGAGTTACCAAAGTATATTGCAACGTTGCAGGCTTTAAATCATGATACAATTGTGAAGTGGTTTCATTGTCCAAATAGCTCATCACATGTAGCGACATTTAAATATGTTTTTTAGGCTTTTGGACACGCTATTGATGTGTTTTTTCTATGTCGACCTGTTATTTCAGTAGATGGTTGTCATTTGAAGGGTTCATATAGAGGGAAAAGGCTTGTTGTTGTCACAAAAGATGCTAAAAATAGTATATTGTTTGTTACGTATGATATCGTTGATGAAAAGATTTCACACAATTGGGATTGGTTTTGTTACCAACTCAGACATTTTCTTGTTATTTATTTCAGAGAATTATGTGTTATTCAGATAGGGACAGAGGAATAATTTATACTATGGAAAATCTACAGGAATGGGAAGAGCCATTAGCATAACATCGCTTCTGTCTTCGATACATTTGAAGTAATTATCTGCAAAGGTATAAGAACGTGAGTCTTAAAAAGCTTTGTTGGTCTATTAGCAGAACCACACAAAGATTAAAGTTTGTTGCATATATGAAAGAAATAAAAAATATCAATCTTGAAGCTTGGTTGTATTTAAAGCAAATTAAAAGAAAGCAATGGTGTTTTTTATATGATGACAATCATCGATGGGGTTTCTTGACCATATATATCTTTAAGAGTATGAACAATGCACTTCGAGGAGCAAGATAGTTACCGATTAGGGCGTATATTGACCTTACATTCAATAGAATTGTACAAATTTTTAGAAAGTACAGTGATGCTGCAATGAATTGCAGTACACCTCTACCATCATGTATGTGGCCTCACTTTTGAAAACGAGAAACTTGTGCACAAAGCCATAAATTAACCGAGTTTGACTACAATGAAGGTATCTACAGAATTGTCACAAAGTTACAAATAAATGGAAAAAGGAGGAAATGTGCACATTGTCCATTATTTTCAACAAACATGTACATGTGGTAGTGGATACGGAAAGGTTTCCATGTCCGCATGCTATTACAACTTGTGGTTATTGAAGGGATAACTCTCTTTCTCTTGTAAATATTGTCTACACTACTATGATGTATAAACAACAATATGTGTATGTTTTCAGCCGACTTTCTCATGTTGATTATTGGTTGGTGTCAGATTGGAAGATTCGATCAGATACCTCGAAATTCCTGTTCATCGAGGTCGGAAGCATGCAAATCAATTTCATAACGAGATGGACATTCTGTCGAACCTGCAAATGTAGACTATGCCACCAACCTAGTCATAATAGAAGAAACTGTCCAATTTCTCGGCCATTATTCATTGTGATATGAACTTTGTAACATTTTTAATTAATGATGTAGGTTAGTGTTTAACTTTTATTGTAATTTTACGTTTAATTTGTTTTGTAATATTGGTTTTAATTGTTCTTTTATTTTTGTAATGTTATAATATATTCAATTTTTGTATTTATTTGAAGATATTTGTAAGATCTATTTAAGGGTATAACTTGTAAAAATAATACATAAGATATAATGTATATTATCAAATAAATTAATTTATGTATAATATTTAATAAGGGTAAAAAATAAATTGTTCAAGAGTGAAATATATAAATAAAATGAGATAAAAGTTGAAGGGTTAAATTTGTAACATGTAAAGGTTATAAATGAAAGTATATAAAGGTTATAAATAAAAGTATATAACTTGTTTTCGGAAAAAACGGTAGAAACTTATAGAAATGGCCCTCCCTCTAACCAACCTATTTCTACTAGATATTCAAAAACTAATCTATTTCTTCAAAGCTTTTGGAAAACAAGCCTAGTTTTAAAATAAATAATTAAATAAATAAATTAATTAAATCCTCCACCTTTGACAAAGAAAAAAAAATTACAATTATCAATTTCCCTTTAATTTTTCATACAGATATACCCAAATAACCATATGGTCTCTGGTTCTATTCCTAAGTAGATGTGATTGAGAATGCATGGGGGGTTTCCACATGATATTTGGCACTATGAAATTATTAATTAGGAAGATAAATGGCTCCTTTTTCAGTTTTATGTATTGACATCATGGTATGGCTATTGTGTGATTTCATTATCCGTTAAGCATATATAATCGTTTCCAATTTTTTTAGCAAGGTACACTCCCTGAGCACTCTCCAACAAAGAGTTTTAGCTGTGTAGAGGTTGATGTTATCCTATATATTCATGGCTATGGCAGTGCAATGAATGCAGTAGGTTGTTTCCCACGAACGTAGTAATTAGATTTTGTGCTACTCAGTTTAGTCTTCTCTAGCTAGAAAGTGATTTCATGCACCTAGCATTATGCTGTACACTAGATATATTGACCCCTTTATGTAATATGAGATTTTCGGATCAATAAATTGATATTTTGTTTAAGAAATCAATTAAGAGTATGCACCTTGATTTAAGGGAACTTAGGGGATTTGTGTGATTGATTGATGTTTAACATATAAATAGTATTTGGATTTGTGTGATTGATTGATGTTTAACATATATTAGTATTAATACCATTTGTTACGAGAAGTAGGTTAAGCTATCCTATATCTGACAAGGAGTCTTCAGTTTTTCTGAAGGTTCTTCCATATGATATGACCTGCCTGTGAATGTATTCCACTCTCGTTTCATATAGTATACTTATTTTTCCACTACTTGTGGGTTGCACACCTCTTTTCAGTTTTTAATCCATAGCTTTTGATTCCCATTTGAACATTGAGGGGGATTCCACAATCCTCTAAATTATTAAACTTTACAACTTTTGTGTGGAGTGCACACTTCTTAAAATTTAATAAACTTGACATTAGATCCCCCAAATCCATTCAGTCATTCTTTTATGCAAGTGCGTTCCTATCGATTTACTGTGTCCTTGTCTAGTTAGGTACACTGAAATGTAGTTAAATATTAGAATAAAAGCCTTCTCCTTCTTCAGTTCATCTTTACGATGTGGGCGGTGTGGATTCCACACTCCTTCCATTTTATAAATTCATCTTTCCACCAGTTATGGACTGAACACTCCGTTTCAGTTTTGAGATGTTTCATTTTTATATTGAGTGGATTGTGGAAGGCATGTGGAATCCACTATTTTTAATTTTTATGTAAGATTAATTACTCAAACTTCACTTGTGGAGTGCACACTCCTTTCTATAATTATAACAACAAAGGATCAACTTCACATATAATATTATGTACACAAACTTATTTTAATTGCAGTAAACTATCAAGAAAAAGGACGTGCATGCACTGGTAAGCTTGTCACCATGGCTGCTGATACTATGTAATCTATTTCTTGGAATGCTTTCTTTAAATATCATTATCAGTGGCATGTGGCTTGCACACTCTCAAATTTTTTTCTCAGCATCTACTCATTATGATTATTATAGACAAACGCATTCTATATAATATTTAGGTAAAACACACACATACACATACTATATATATGTTCTATCAGAGGGGCTCTATCATCAACAATAAGTCATCTCTGGTTCTTTTTTCAGTATCTATCATTCTTTGAAACATAATATTATCGTTCCTGCTTTCGCCATCATGGCTGTGCGAAATGATTTATGCATTCCAGGTCTTGAGGACAAATCCGAACAGGAAAACGGGGTTTCTGTAGAGGAAGAATTTGAGTACTCAGAAAGAAGAAAGTGGCTGCGTTCTGTTAAACAAGATGCCAAAGCCATGGTTCCTACAGGCTTTTCTGGCTTGGTTGCTGGTGTATGTAGTATGGCAATTGGTGAGTTTGTTTCAGTGTACACCCAAAGATCCTTAGAGGTGGCTCTGGTGAAAAGAGAGACCACAATTGTGGAAAAAGAGAAAAGTACCCATCTTTATAGATCAAGTTATTATATGTTTTACTTGCTTTAGTATAGTTGGTTGAGAGGCTGTTCAAAGCCCTTATACTTGTGTTGGTACAAACATGATTATTAGTCCTGTTTACATTCCTAATGCATACGTCTGCAAGTGCTATTTATCTTTTACACATGGGAGTCCCATACGGTGTCTGTACATGACCTTTTAGTTATATATTTATATAATTTATGGGGGGTATCCTCCTTTTATTGTTTGAAAACCCATTATGCATACAAGATTATCTTGCTTGAAAACATAGCATTTTTAGCATAATGCAAATATAGATACATCATGCAGGTGTATACAACAACTAATAAACTTCCGGTAAATCTTGCCCATATACCTGTAATTTCAATAATTCCCTATGAAAAACACTTTTATACAATAGAAACTATTTTATACAAAATACATATGGGCCAACTATACAAGGCCTTAAGAAATAATAAAGGGCTATACTATAATAAATACAAACAACCGTATACACAAAATAGATCCATTAACAGCCCTGCAGTTGGAACGGGAGATGGTTGGCGAACGTTCAAACTGGACCGGAAATCAAGAAACAAAGTGAAAGGAAGGCTTTTAGTGAAGATATCCGCATATTGAGATTTGGATGGAACATGAAGGACCCGAACATGACCGGTGGCAACCTTATCTCAAAGTGCAGTGAATCTCAATATGTTTGGTCCGTTGATGTTGAACAGGATTGGAAGACATATACACGACACTCACATGATCACAGTATACAATTGCAGCTTGATGATGAGAGTAGTATAGCTCAAGAAGTAAATTCCAAATCCAGCATGTTTCAGCAACAGCATTAGCAACCCCACGATATTCGGCCTCAACGTTGGAGCGGGATATAGTAGAATGGCGTTTAGAGGACAAAGATAAAAGATTATGCCCCGAGAAGACACAATAACCCGAGGTGGAGCGCCTGGTAACAGGACAGCCAGCCCAATCAACATCAGCATATGCTATAATGTCAATAGATGAAGAACAAAAAATTTGAAGTCCTTGATCAGAAGTACCACAAACGTAACGCAGAATGCGTTTAAGAGCAGCAAAGTAAGGCTCGCGAGGATCATGCATGTAGATATAGAGTAGGGTCTGCAACAGGAGGTCCCGACCCATCAAATTCGGAACTAAGATCGGCTGGAGTAGAGGCAGGTTTTCAATTCAACATAGAAGCACGAGCAAGAATCTCATTAGCATGTTTCTGTTGAGACAAAAACAGGCCATCAACGGTCCTGGTGGCAGCGATACCTAAAAAATAATGAAGATCTCCAAGATATGACATAGAAAACTCGGATCCAAGCAGGTTAATGATGTGAGTCAGAAGTTGAGGAGAGGAGTCGGTGAGAATTATATCATCCACATACAACAAAAGGTAAGCAATATGATAGCCATGTCTGTAGATAAATAGAGAAGAATCACACTTGTTGTTAGTAAAACCAAGACGAGTAATAAACGTAGTAAACTGTTGAAACCATGCACGAGGGGCCTGTTTAAGACCATAAAGAGATCGTTGAAGGAGAAAAACATGATCCGGTTTTGAGAAATCCCGAAAACCAGGGGATTGCTGCATATAAACGGTCTCCTGAAGATGACCATGAAGAAAGGCATTCTTCACATCAAGTTGTCGAATTGGCTAGTGGTGTGTAACTGCAATGCTGAGAATAGTACGAATGGTGGCAGGTTTGACAGCTGGACTGAAAGTCTCATCACAATCAATACCAGGTCTCTGACTTCGTCCATTAGCAACAAGACGAGCTTTATATCGAGCTAAATAGCAATCCACATTAAGCTTCTTTTTAAAAAGACAAATGCAATTAATAATATTAGCACTAGGAGGTCGTGGCACTAGAACCCATGTTTTGATAGAGATAAGAGCAGAGTATTCCTCATGCATCATTTTGAGCCAGTTAGGATCGTTAAATGCTTGTAAGTAAGTTTGGGGGAGAGGAGAGGATGACTCGACATGAAGCTTAAGTTTTTCAATAGGCTTTTTAACACCACTTTTAGCATGCGTGAGCATTAGATGATGGGATTGAGACGGAAGCGAATAGGCAGAAGCAGAAGTAGAATTTATGGGGGCTACCGAGGGACTGCTCTCGGCAGATGAGACATAATCGGTTGTGGCTGACGTAGCCACATCATCTACAGAAGTAGGAGAGGAGGTCTCGTGAGGAGGCTCGTCCTCAGAACCGTGATCAGAAGGAGGCGATGGAGTAAAGGAAAAATCGGAGTCATGATGGTGGGAGTTTGGATCAAGTGGGGATGAGAGATTGGAAGGGAGGTGAATGTTTTCAAGGAACGAGTAAGACAGGGGAGCATCAGCAGTCATGGATCCAAATGGAAACACAGTTTCGTCAAAGGCAACATCTCGAGAGATAATAATCTGTTTTGTATGGAGATTTAGACATCGATAGCCCTTGTGATTTGTGGGATATCCAAAAAATACACACGGAGTGGAGCGTGTCGAAAGTTTATGAGGAGTGACGATGCGAGGGAAACAAAGACACCCGAATACTCGAAGATGATCATATGTGGGACGAATGCGGTAAATTTATGAAAAAGTGTGTTATTGTCAATGGTGGTAGAGGGAAGAATGATTAAGATATGTTCGGCCATTTGAAGAGCCTCAACCCAATAATCGGGAGGGAGGCGAGCATGAAGGAGAAAGGTACGGAGAATATTTTTATAGTGCGAAGCATGTGTTCAGATTTGCCGTTTTGTTGAGATGTATGAGGAAAAACGCATGAGAATTCCATTTTGATCGCATATTTGATGGAATTGATTATTATTGTATTCACCCCTAATATCACATTGTAGGTCTTTAATATCGGTTTTGAATTGATTTTGAAAAAATAGACCGAAAATGAACAAATTTAGAGGAAACATCTGATTTGGCACGTAAGGGATAAACCCACAAAAAATGAGAGAAATTGTCAAGAAAGATAACATAATATTTAATGCCACTAATACTTGCGACCGGAGAGGTCCAAACATCATAGTGAACAAGTTCAAAAGGAGACTCAGAAACATAATTAGATAAAGTAAATGGCAATTTAACATGTTTTCCTAATTGACAAGATTGACATAAAGTTGAAATTTTATTGGTTGAACACAAAATAGCTCGACTGTCAACTATTTGCTTGAAGACGTGATGACCGGGGTGACCGAGTTGATGATGCCAGACAAACAGAGCAACAAAAACGAATGATTGAGGAGAAGGAGTAGTGATCGGATAGAGGTCACCGGTGCTATCCATCCCATGAGAATGTGTTTACTTTTGAGCTAGATCCTTTACAGAAAAACCAAAAGAGTCAAATTCAACGGAACAATTATTTTCACAAGTAAAACGATTGATGGAAATGAGATTTTTACTAATTTGGGGAGTGACTAAAACATTTTTCAAGAAAAGAGTACGATAAGCATTAGGGAGAGGAGTTGTGGTGTGTCCGACCTTACTTACATGGATTGTGGATCCGTCCCCAACTAAAACAGATGAAGAAAAATTGCTTTTATCTAAAACAGTTTTAAGTATACCTGCATTTGCATGAATATGCGAGGTAGCACCGGTGTCCATGTACCATCCCACATTTGTCGGGTCATTTAAGGACATGGCATTAAACATTTTTGGGATAGTAGTGGGTTGTTCGTGTGGTTGTTGGACCTGATGAGGGGATACAAATGCCTACTGGACAGGTGCAGATGGAAAAGGAAAAAGAAGGTTGTTGGGCTGATTGCTTGAAGCCGCTGAAGTGTTGTTGGGCTGGTGAAGTTGGGTTCGGCAGCAGGCCTTGCTGGCCGGTTGCGGTTGTTGGACCTGGTACCATCCGTAAGCCCACCCGGCTGGTGGGGGAGGTTGTTGTCACTGATGAGATGTACCGCCAGATCTGCTATCTCCTGATCTTTCGCCCCGGCCACCACAACCATTCCGGCCACCCTTTCCAGCACGAAAATTATTGGAGCCTCGAGAATTGTTTTGATGTTGATAGGAGCCATCAGTAGCAAGAACAGTAAGGGAAGATGAATGATCTGAGTGAGGCATGGCAGCGATTTTTTGATCATCTTGAAGCATTTTATGTTCTTCCATGATTAACATAGAGCGGGTGTCCATGAAAGACGAAACCTGCCTTTGATGACGGATGGTGGTGGCAATGTACTATAACTTTGTTAGACAACTAAGAGTGTAAGACACGAGATTTCTTTCAGGAACAAGAGCATCAAGGTTCTCCACTAAATCAACTATGGTTTTTATGCGGGTACAGTAGTCTGTAACATCAGAATCACCATGGTGATGTTTCTCAACTCAGATTCAAGTTGAAGAGCTTTGTTTTCCTTGTTATCTCAAAAACGTTTTTCAAGATAAACCCATATAGAATGAGCAATGTAATGCCCGTAGATCCGGGCTAGTCAATTTAGAGACGATAAGCGTCAAAAATGACTTTTTGATAAAAGATTATTTAGAATGAATAATCTTAACTAAGTTGTAGTGGTCGTGGCAAGGTTTCCGAATATATAAAGAATGTCGAAATCCGAGTTGTAACGAAGAAGTTATGACATGTCGAAGTTTCGCGACAGAACCGACACGACACAGCGCGACGTAAATAGTGAATTTACGTTAGACCAATATTTAGCCTTAGTGATCTAAACGAAATTCATAGAGTTCGTTAAACCGTGAGCGTGCATAAAAAGAAGGTCCAAATCTGACTTCGTATGAGGAAGTTATGATTTATCGAAGTTTCAGCTCAGCAGTATGCAGCCCGAAACTCGAATTTGAGATCGAGTGATTTTTGGTTGAAGCAATCTAAACGAGAATCGAAGATCTCGTTATTAGTAGTGCAACGGTAAAAAGACAGACGAAAACGGACGTCAGATGAAGAAGTTATGAAATTCTAACGGAGTTTTCCTGTCCCGGCCTACTAAAAATAATATAATAAAAATAAATTCCAAATCAGCCGACGGAGTCTAAATGAAAGTTGTAGAGCATAGTCTCACCTACGCGT